AAGATGTTGTGAGTTCGAGTCACCCCAAGAGCAAGGTGGGGAGTTCTTGGAGGGAAGGATGCCAATGGTCTATTAGAAACAGCCTCTCTACCTCATGGTAGGGGTAAGGTCTGCGTAATGGTCTATTAGAAACAGCCTCTCTACATCATGGTAGGGGTGGTAGGGGTAAGGTTATATTGGGTTGTTGTTCCTATAGAGAGGTGACGTGAGACCTCTCCTAGCCAAGTAATGTATTTATCTTTTTTCTCTTTTTATCCTTATTTTCTTAACCGGAGGTTAATCTTATTTCTATCTTATTTATTGTATCTAATTAAATATTAATGACAAATTATTTAATTTCATCAGCTATATAAAGTCCTTTGGTTTATTCGTTATTCAAAAATAAGTTTTAATAATCTCAAGTGATTATTCAAAATTTTGTAAAAAATAATTTGAAGTACACGTGCGAGAGACTAATCTGCTAAAAGGCAAAGAAATACATCTATTTTGATAATGAAACCATATCGTTGACTGATGTAGTTTATTTTCCGAACCTATCGTTGACTGGTGGTTTATTTTCGGAACCTATTCAATTTATAGCTATAAGAAAAAGGCCCAAACACTGCTGGAACAGTAAAAAGATAAAATAGTGACTGCGATCAACTTTGATGTCGTACTTGAGTTGGAGGGCTTTCCCTCCATCTCCATCTATGAGTCAAGTAATTAGTTATCTCATCTTTTCCGCCTCTTTTTTTCTTTTTTTACCTTTGGGACTATTTTATGTTTAGAGGTATAATTGAAAAATAGCCACTATTTTAAAAGTAATCGAAATTTAATCACTATTTTATCAAATAAAAATATCCTTAAAAATTCAAAAAAAATTCAGCATGATATCTGGAGTTATAATTTTTTCGGAAAAGGGTCAGAAATGCCCTTAACGTATTAGAAATGACTCAAAAATGCCTTCCTTCCACCTATGGGTTCAAATTTGCCCTTAATATTATTTTTAGACTTAAAAATGCCCCTCTCTTAACGGAAAAATGACATGGCATTGATGAACATTTTAACATTAAGGGCAAATTTGAAGTCATAGGTGGAAGGAGGGCATTTTTGAGCCATTTTTAATACGTTAAGGGCATTTCTGACCCTTTTCCGTTTTAATTAAACATGTAGCATTTATTTAGTCTGGAAAAAGTGATTTTTTTTTCTAAAAACTGAAAAAAATAAAAATATTTTTTTTTCCAGTTTTTAGAAAAAAAACTGCTTTTAAAAAAGCTGAAAAAATATTTTCTAAAATAATATTTTTGTAAAAACTGGAAAAAAATTAAAAAATAATTTTCTAAAGCAATGTTTTTGTAAAAACTGAAAAAAAATATTTCCTATTCTTCTTCCTTCATTGTTTGTCCATATGCTTTCAGAGTTTATTTTTTATATATTTTAGTTCTTACATCAAAACTAAAATATTTTCGTTTTTTTCAGTTTTTAGTATAAAAAAAAATCACTTTTTTTCAGACTAAATAAATGCTACATGTTTAATTAAAAAGCCATTTTTTCAGAACTCAGAAAGCCAATCTATTCCTAAATAGGCATTTTTAAGCCTAAAAATAACATTAAAGGCAAATTTGAACCCATAGGTGGAAGGAGGGTATTTTTGAGCCATTTCTAATACGTTAAGGGCATTTCTGATCCTTTTTCGTAATTTTTTACCTATGAGATACCAATATAATATACTGTAATTTCATAATGTGTTTGAATTCCAGCATAATATGCCAAAAAATTTTATGCAAAAAATTCATAATCCAACATATTATGTTGAAACTTACCGTTTTTCTATTAAAATAATGACTATATTATGTTGGAACTTACTGTTTTTCTATTAAAATAATGACTATATTTTTAATGACTTTCCAAATTCTCCATTACCGGTCCGAAACCGACTAGCTCATGCTATTTGTACTTTGAGAGGGAGTAGATATTTGATTGTTGGGCCATCCAAAGACCTTCCTCTGTATTGTTATCCGTATTCTGTTGTCTCTAGTGAGACAATTTGTTCGTTACTTAAAATTTATTGGACCCGGCCCAAGAAGAGCCCTCAAATGCTTCGTCTCTTATATTTATGCTCGCATTCAAAGAAAGACACAGCGCTCTTCTCTATATTTGCTCTGCTGCATTTCAGTGAGGAAAATCTAAAGAGTCGTCCAAACACACACCTGATTCAGGTTTGCTTTAATATTACTCGCTATATATGTAGCATTTAAACTGTACCCTTTTCAGATCTTAAATATGTCGTGTTAGGCAACTTGGAAAATTTCGTTTAGGATTGACCAGTGCCTGCTACCTGTTTGATGGAATGTTTATACATGAACTTGTTTTACTGTAATTGGAATTGGGCTATCTTGGTTAACAAAACCCTTTTCGTTTTTGGGTCAACCGAGTGAAATGTTGTGAGTAAATCGCTAAAATTTGAAAGAATTCGTAGGAATGAATTTGGTATTTGCTATAGATGAGTGTTTGAGGAGGAAGTAAAGCATTAAAATGATGTTTTCATGGAGATGGAGATGTTAAAGCCCTGTTTGGTATGCAGTTTTTATATCTTATGCTTAGTTTATTTCTGCCAGTGTATAGAATAATCACTTATTAGTGAATAACCAAACTGTTACTTAATAGTTGATTAAATTCTACTCAATTATCTAGTACCCAATACGGGAAGAGTCAGAATCAGTTTCAAAATCCAAACCGACCATGCCTAGATATCTTGCAAGAGTCAGTGTGTTCTTGAGTCCATCTTTACCAGTGCTAGAGGAATTGGTTTACCAGTTTGCCACCGTTATCTTTTCCATAAGCTGTAATCATTGAGGAATCTATAAAGTATTAAGCTTAAAATTTGGAAAAATTAAAACAAAGTCTCTTATTAAACTTAACAAAAGATGGGTTTTAATGGCTTAAAACCAACTTTTATGAGTAAAAATTAGTTGTTTCGTCTTGGTGTAATGTGGCAAATGTAAATGATGTTGAAGCCATGTTACACCTACTGAGTACATTACACGATATGAAGTGTTAATGCACTTTTTGTAATTACATTCCAGCATTTCTTTTTTTGCTGGATGCGTTAATAAAATCCTTATTACTTATCAAGGAANGGAGGTGACGGCTATTTTACTGTTTATTTCCTCGTAGAGTAAAAAAGAAGCCATTCCACCTTTCTGGAAATGGTGACAATTACCATGTTTGCCTGTGCAATTCTTTATCCTATTCCACGTTTTGCCCCAATAGCCATGCACCTCAGCTATCAATTCATTGCAATCGTATCCTTTCTGTTAACTTACACCAGTCTGTACCTTGGCCCACCGTCATGTTTACTTGCTAACTGCCGTTTCCAGCCACACTTGCTATATCTCAGGTCCATCTTCACCTTTCCTGTTGCTTTCCATGTAATTATAAAAGGTATTAAACGGAAGATTGCCTCGTTCAATGTGGAAATCAGGAATTAGTTTTCAATGAAATTTAAGAAGAGCACTGATTTTAGAGGACATGAATTACAGATAGATCGACTATATAAAAAGAGACTTTAAGTCCTTGAAACTCAAAATGGTAAATTATCTGTCAAGTTGTATATATCTATTATCTGCTAAATAACTCTTCCATTGCTGGATTTGGAACGGATGGTCTATGAAGCCATCTCATAAATGATGGATTTGTACTCCCTTAGCTATCTTTTAGGATTAGTAGTTATTGTTAGCTCTAGTGTAAGATACAAAATTGCATTTCTTGATGATGAGAAGTACTCCCTGAATGTTGAGCTCTATCTAAGATTTTTTGATATTTCATTTAACTTCTTTGATGGAAGGGGAGCCTTGGCGTAACGGATAAAGTTGCTGCCATGTGATCAGGAGGTCACGGGTTCGAGCCGTGGAAACAGCCTCTTGCAGAAATGCAGGTTAAAGCCATGTACAATAGACCCTTGTGGTCCGGCCCTTCCCTGGATCTCGCACATAGCGGGAGCTTAGTGCACCGGGCTGCCCTTTTTTTCTTTTGAGTTAACTTCCTTGATGATACTTCTTTTGATGTCTTTGTTACTTCTAGCAGAATGGTGATTCCCCCCCCAATTAGACCAGACAGAGTGACAAAGTATCTCAAACCTTACGTGCTGAGGATGCACTTCACAAACAAGTATGTAAATGCTCAAGTAGTTCACACACCAACTGCAACAGTGGCTGCTTCTGCAAGCACACAAGAGAAAGGCTTAAGGCTTGCCATGGTAGAAGGAAAAGAAAATACTAGAGATGTTGCTGCTGCTGCAAAAATCGGTAAGTTGTTAGGAGAGCGATTGCAGGCTAAAGGTATTCCCGCCATATCTGTTTTCTTTAAGAGAGAGCAAAGATACCATGGAAAGGTCAAAGCAGTTATTGATTCAGTGAAAGAAGTAGGCATAGAACTGGTTTGATTGAAACACAATGACCACTTTCTCGTTTCACGGCCTGCTGGATTTCCTCCCAAGGCAAAGGATTTATATGTTCTATTGGCTTTGCAAATCTATTTTCGCGACAATTTACTCGTCTCAGTTCTTCCAAACTGGAGCAATATGTGGTTTTCAATGTATAAGATGTCACTTATGACATTCCCTGTGTTCTGAGTCTTTTATTGCCAAGAAGAAGGTTCCTAGCCTCTTGGTCCAACAACCCCCCCCCCCCCCCAATTCCCTCACCATCCTACGCCAGCCACATGACTATTCTCCAGTAACTATTTTCTTCTCGAACCTGATAATTGTAAATCTTATTCATCATTTGCGTAAAGTTGAGTTAAACTAGGATGTAGGAGATGTGGTTTCTATTTCGGGTTGAAAATCTGAACTTCTTGAAAATCAGATTAAGAAACAAAGGAAATTTGTGCAACATTATCACATGATACTATAATTATAGCCTGTTTGGCCGTGCTTTTTTTTTTTTGCAAGAAGTGTTTTCTTTATAGCCAAAAGTACTTTTTCCTCCAAAGTTAAGGTGTTTGGTCAAGTTTTTAGAAGGAAAAGTCTTTTCAATAGAAGCAGAAGCATTTTTTGAGAAGCGGAATAAAGTAGTTTCTTCTCAAAAGCACTTTTTGAAAAGCATTTTTGAGGAAAATAGCTTGGTCAAACATTAATTGTTGCTCAAAAAAGTATTTTTTAAACTTATTAGATAAACACAAACTGCTTCTCACAAAAAATAATAAAGTATTTTTCAAAATAAGTTGATTTTAGAAGCATGGCCAAACATGTTATTGTCTAATAACTTATTGGGCTTTCAAATCAAGTATTTAAGGAGAATGATCGAAAGATGTTTTAATTCCACAATTGCATGAACGATAATTGTCTAGTCAAGTAAAGTCTCTCAGTTATATTAAGACTAGTGGAATTGTCTACGCTTCGCGCGATCATAAGAAACTTCATTGAATTTACAAACTTCTTTTTCTAATATCAAATATTAAAAAATTATGACTTTAAACAAAAGGGGACATCAGATAAATACATTGTAGGAGAAGCAATATGTGGAAGCAAATTTGTAGGAGAAGCACCATTTACTCTGAAGTGAAAGCAAAGGCATTCGTGACCATAAACATGAACATATGATTTAAAGAACATCAGAAATTATAATAATATTAATTGGAACCAAAGTTTCGCATCCTTAGAGAAGACCAAGAATTTCAGCAAAAAATAAAAAGGATAAGACCATGCTGATGAAAATTTGGAATAACGTAACAGGTAAATAAAAGAATGAAGTAGCTGTAATAGGTTATTATTAAGAGTAATTTGCATTTCCTTCTTGACCGGATAGAAGTATCATAAATATCCCATTTGATAAAAATAATTTATCAATCTTTCCTAGTATAGTCATAGTCCCAACTGCCCCCATTTCAACAATAAAATTTACATTACTAACATACTCCTCCATCAAGCAACAATAACTACAGAATAAAGTTTTAAGTATAATGAAATTGATTGACTATCAGCACATACATTAGTGTAGGAGAATTCTAGGGGTTTTGACTTTTGGGGGAAAATGAATATTTCTTTAATAGTGACTTTTGAGTTTTTTAAACATGAGTGGAATGAAAATAATGAGGAAAAATGGCAAAAAGAATAGCATTGTTATAAAATAAAAGTAATTTAGTAAAATATGAACAAGACATGTTGTTATGAAATAAAAACAATTTAGTAAAACATGAACAAGAAATGGAGATAGAGAGAAAGAAGAGATTTTCTTCTTCAATTGTGTGTATTTTTCTATCTATTACAAGGCCTTTATATAGGCATGAAAGTGAGGAAAAATATATCACTGAATATGTCATTAAGCATAGAAATATGTCATTGAATATGTTATTAAGCATTTGAGAAGATCATGGAGGAAGAGAAGACATCCACCATAATTTGATTTTTCTTATAACACTCCCCCTTGGATGTCCATAAATAATGTGCCTCGTTAAAACCTTATTAGGAAAAAACCCTATGG